TTAAATTAAAAATCTGCAATAAATAATAAAAGAAAGCCAACAAACTTGATAAAATTATGAACGAAAAAACCTTTCCGCAAACTTGAACTTACAAACATTTCTTGAGAACCAAATGCATCCTTAAAGAATTAAAAGAGATGATGTATTTTTACACCGAGGTCCTAAGTTTGATTATTCTCTCTAACATTCTCAATATCGCTTGTATTAAAAAAAATAAAAAAATAAAGGGAGTGGTCATTCAAAAGCTTGGGCTGAAGGGGTAAGTAAATGATATGAAGCCCAACTGGGCCGGATTACTAATTTTATTTATTTTTGTTTCAGGCCAAATTAGTATTGAAAAGCAGCTTGGCAGAACACGTGAACGTGATGAGGTGATGTGGAGTCAATATTTGCTAAATTTATCCAATTCTATTTTTATTTTTTTCTTGAATATTAAAATCAGTTTAATTTTACCTCCATTTATTTATCGATTTATTAATTTCGGTAATTTTCTCATTTCCTTTCGTTCCCCTTCCTCCTCTCTCTCTCGAAAAAAAACTCAACCTTCATTCTTTCCAAGCTCAACTTCCGAACGAAACCCTAACAATTCAGACGCACAGAGAGAGAGTAAACCAGTTGAGCAAGCAACCCAGTTGTATATGGCGTGCGAGTCGTTGCGTTGAATCGGCGAAAGAGGATCTGAGTGGTCGGCGATAATTGATATTGGGTATTGACTTGGTCTGATGGGTGCTGCGGGCTCCAAACTCGAGAAGGCTCTCGGCGACCAGTTCCCCGAAGGCGAGCGATATTTCGGCCTCGAGAATTTCGGGAACACTTGCTATTGTAACAGCGTTTTGCAGGTTTCGTCCTCATCCGTCAAATTGTGTCATTTTATTAGCAAACTTTTCAAATTAGGGTTTTTTATTTTATCGGTATGTATAATTCTGTGGTACAATGAGAATGACATGAAGTGTTTGCAAATTATGAGTTGTGATTGTTTCTAATTCAATAATGGTGAAAGTTAACTTAATCGGATTGGATATTGTAATTCAGCTGCTGATTTTTGTGGTTGTTCATGATCGTTTAGATGACTGCTTAGCTAGTTTAGCAAGTGCTTGGTTTGTGGTTGATGTTGTTCTCGCGTTCTTTAATAACATTAACAGTCAGCATCCCAAGGTTTTCGCCGTCAAAAAGTGTGACCATTTTCTGCTTTGCTATTCAGCTTTCCACTGGTGGTACAAATTGTATTTCTGGGTTCTGGATGTACTTTTTGAAATGTTAGTGCATCGTGCAATGACATGCTGCTATTTTTTTTGTCTAAATGGATGAGCGCTGGGTGAAATCCCTCTTAGGCGCTCGTCTTCTCAGTATACTACAATTAATATTCTTTGGATTAAGATGGTTTCCGTAATTATTATATTTACTCTGTAAATTGACACTCATGTATGAAGAGAAGAAAGTGTTTGTCAAACACGGTTATGAGTGTCTAGGCTTGATACTTGGGCTGCATTTTAACTTAATATTGTAACTAAAATTCAGTGTTCAGTTTAACCTTGGATGCTTCGGGAGGGAGTTCACATGGTCTTTCAACATATCTAATGTGTAATTGGGTTTTTGTTAGACCCTCAGTATGTTTACCGCTTCTATCTTTGTTCCATGCATTCTGAAAATATTAGTGCCAATATTTTCCAACTAAATATGTGTATTTTACTATTGGGTAAAACCATTACTTAATAGAAATCAATGTCTTATCCTGTTTAGGTTGTTGGAATTCAATTTTCTAAAGTTATAATCAATGCCTTATCCTTTTTATTTCTTCATGCAGGCACTTTATTTTTGTGTTCCATTTCGCGAACAATTGCTTGAATATTATTCCAGCAACAAAAGTACTGGGGATGCAGAAGAAAATCTCTTGACATGCTTAGCGGACTTGTTTACACAGGTAACAACTATACTAGATATATATGGTACCTGTACATTAATTTGATCATCTCAGGTGGGACTTGCAATGTTAGGTTGATATTCATTTTTCTTTTTACTGTATTTTTGTACTCTGTATGCCACTGTAACTGTACAGCCCTCCTTCCTCTGCTGTTCTGCCATGTCTAATCTATGGGAAACAACTGAGTTATCTGTTCCAGTTTCCCTAATACAGGAACATTTATCTTGGGACTAACAGCTTTTTCTTTCCTGTATATGATCTGTCAAATCTATTTTATTTTACCTCATATACAAGAATTGAAATGTAAGCAAGCCCAGTAAATATGACTCTTGAGAATTGTGAAAAACAAATCTCGAAATATGTGATGCTAGTTTCCCAATTGATGTTCATGACATGGAACATATGCCTTCAGCAATTGTTTAGTTTTTTGTGCTGTGATCAATAGTTTATTATTTCTTTGTTGTAGATAAGTTCCCAGAAGAAGAAAACAGGTGTCATTGCTCCAAAGCGTTTTGTTCAGAGATTGAAGAAACAAAATGAGCTTTTCCGTAGCTATATGCACCAGGTATGTCTTTCCTTCTAACTACCAAAATGTGCTTTTTCCTTTGTTATGAAATTTTTCTAGAAATTTATGTCCGAACATTAAAAGATTTATTTGAATAATTGTAAAACAATATTATTAAGGATTTTAATTTGAAAAAGTATCACCATCATCTGTTGAAAGCTTGAGAACAAGCCTTATGGGATGAGTAATGCTAGTGTATCCATGGTGAGGGCTACCATTTGTCCGTTAAACTGTGATTGTGTGTATTTGAAGTGGCT